ACGTACTCATTCTTGAAGAAGCTTAAATGTGCTTGTGCACGTGTGCTATATGAATGTGCATTGATAAATGTTCATATCTTAACAAAAGTGTAAATTAAATCTGTTCATAATATAAAACGATCTCTTTAGCATCTCTTCAGAAAATTTTGATTATACCACTCAAATTATATGGGTTTCTTTTATCATGCATTTATGAACTTTTTGAAGCTTGACAATTTTGGTTGATTGGACGATCAATTGATGGATGAAAAAAAATATTACAAATATCTTCATTTATGATTTATTCTGGGTTTTGAACAACATGAGGGGGTGTAATTAATGACAGAATTAAAATTTTTAGGTGGACTATCCTTTTGATTACCATGCCAGTTTTCATAAAATACAGCTAAAACGAGAAAATTGTAGATTTCCATATTGTCCCATTAAATAAAAAATGTATTAATGTTATACTACAATAAAGAAAATGTTTAATTACATATTAATGTTATAGTACAATGGCAAAAAGAACCACACACAAACTGTATTAAAAGCAGACAGGTGTTTCACTGAAAGGAAAAAAAAGTATCCAGTGAAATATGATTTAATCCAGTGAAATCAGAAGTCGTAAATGTATCAGACTGTTCAGTCTCAGTGCAGCTGGTCCATGAATTCACCAGAATGTTCTACACCTGGAACTCAAACATGTCTGCTTGCTTCTTGGCCAGTTTGGCCACCTCATCACGGATGGCTTTGACTAGGGCTGAAGTGTAAAGGCTACTAAGGGGGGTGTTGGGGCTGAGAAAATATTACAAATATCTTCATTTATGATTTATTCTGGGTTTTGAACAACATGAGGGGGTGTAATTAATGACAGAATTAAAATTTTTAGGTGGACTATCCTTTTGATTACCATGCCAGTTTTCATAAAATACAGCTAAAATGAGAAAATTGTAGATTTCCATATTGTCCCATTAAATAAAAAATGTATTAATGTTATACTACAATAAAGAAAATGTTTAATTACATATTAATGTTACAGTACAATGGCAAAAAGAACCACACACAAACTGTATTAAAAGCAGACAGGTGTTTCACTGAAAGGAAAAAAAAAGTATCCAGTGAAATATGATTTAATCCAGTGAAATCAGAAGTCGTAAATGTATCAGACTGTTCAGTCTCAGTGCAGCTGGTCCATGAATTCACCAGAATGTTCTACACCTGGAACTCAAACATGTCTGCTTGCTTCTTGGCCAGTTTGGCCACCTCATCACGGATGGCTTTGACTAGGGCTGAAGTGTAAAGGCTACTAAGGGGGGTGTTGGGGCTGATCGGATCTCTGGGCTCTGCTAGACTCTGCTGGGACACTGCAGTGGAGGAGGAGGGTGGATTGTCCGGACCACCCTGAGCGGCCTGGCGGTGGTGCCACAGGAGAGGGCTGCCCTGAGGATAATGAGGGTGAGGAAAGGCCTCTGCGTAGCCTGGTAGGGGCATCTGAAAGAGAAAACAGGTAGCATTCAACAAGGCCTGTGCTAAAACCAGTCAGCTAGGGTGTACTGTTATTTTTAGTGAGTCTTGATCTGTGCTGCAGTTGACCAAATTCTACAGTTAAAAAAGGAACCAATAGACAAATACACAAGGACGACACTCACGATAAGGAAAACGAAAAGCTTAAGGATATACTTCAAAGTAAAATTAGTGACACTCCATTCAAACAAGTTTGAATTGTGTGATTTGATCATTTTCATTAAACTATGAATTATGAAATCATAAACACTTTGAACAAGGGTCACCTTGTCACCAGGGTTGGGCATAATTCAGAATTTTTTGAGTGTAAATTGGAATTTAACTGGCCACCCCACAAGATGATTTATGTACTAAACTGCCATTCAATGATATTCAACATTCACACAACACTTATTAGACCAACACATTATATACAGTATATAAATATATATATATATAAATCAATTCTGAGATATTTATTGATTGCAACACTTGTTTTATAAAGACTAGTCTCATAAAGAATATAAAGAAGAATATAAAAGTCAAAAAGCAATAAATCAATCAATCGATAAAACTTAATTCTTACCTGATTGTCTATCATCCCCATGTTTAAGTAAAAAAAATAAATAAATAAAATAAAGTGAGGTGTTAGCCTGGTGTCATTATGAGGCAAATGTGATTCCCCTTCTAGGGAACTCAATGCTGCGCCCCCTAGGGGGCACATTGGGGAATGCAGCCTGCATGACCAGTGTCTGAAGCACGTGTGAAACAACGCCAATCTATTGGCCCACCTGGCCCATGACGTCATAGGCGGGATGCCCGGAAGTATAAAAGGGCACCTGCTGAATACGTCATCCTCTTTGCTGTCTTCAGGAGTCATCTGTTTGAAGTGCGTGTGAGACACCAAGGCAGGTGAGCGGTGTGGAAAGTGTGTGCCTCTGTTCCAGAGGTTTCTGGCACTTGAGGACACGCACAATCTATCTGTCATCTGTTTTTTGTCAGGAGAGTCCTCGAGCACTGAACGCGCTCATTGTGAGTGTTATCCAATGAGAAGCTCCATTCGCGTTTGTCCCTCTTCTCGAGAGATGAGTGACAGGCGTTTGCGTCTCGCGGTTTGGGTCCCGCTGTTGCCGAGGCATGGCGAATACTTGGATCGTGGTATTCATGGGGTTGAGTCCTTCTTGGGTTATCGGATCCCGCGGATAGCGCTCGAGTCGAGCAGCACCTCAGGGAATATGTGCCTCCGTGTTTGGATTCTAACACTCGAGGGCATGTTCTGCTTTCGCCTTTGTCTCGACGAAGAGCACGCACGTTCAGAGTTACAAGCTCATTGTGATGAGTCACATCTAGGCTCCACTCGTGTTTGTTCCTATTCCCGAGGGATACGGAACAGAGCGTTTGTGCCTCGCGGCCCGGTTCCGCCATTGCCGTGGCACAGTTATCTCAACACATGGCTATTGCTTTGATCTGCAGCATCCGTACACCCTCTCTATACGGTTGTCAGATGCCACGGATATTGTTGGGTTGTTATGACGATGAAGTGTGAGCACAGAGTCGTTTCAGCCCTGATCCTGCGAGATTGTGGGCAGAGCAGTAGCGAACCGTGACTCTTGAGCCTAGGCCCTCTGCCCCTACCCTCGTCGGGGGGAAAAACTACCAGCCTAGCTTACGGTGTCCTCTTCTAAATGTCATCTTTGACAATTCCACCTCTAAAAACAAGAGGCTATCCAGCCTTAAGGCAGTCGCACACCGGACGACATGTGCAGCCCTGTACCGTGCTGCACCACGTCTTTAAAATTCCCACACATTGTTTTCCATGACTGTATGTATGCAGCACCACCAGCGACTTCTCCGCGGATCCCGACTCTGGGCGGTGTTCATAATCCTGCCGTGCCACAGAGCGCCTCAGCGCTACTCACATCATTCTCCATTAAATTACATTATATTTGTCCCAAATTAATATATTAATGTACATAATGACTTCATCCTAGGTTGGAAGATTGTGTATTGTGCATTTTTTTGCAAAACGTTTGTCTTTCTGTGGCTCTAATAAATTTCATGATTCATTGTGCTATAGATCGCAATTTCTCATCCCGTTTGCTGACACGACGCGTTCAGTGTGTGATACGCGTTGCACCGGGGCACCACTGTGCTTCTCATCCAATGAGCGACCGCAACAAAACAGCACAGCGAGAGTGACTAATATTACCAAAATAAAACATCTAAATTTAAGTCAAATGCATATCTTCATTACAAATATCTGCACTTCAGCGGGCAAAACGTACAGACACTCCCTCCCATCACACAAAACCAACAAATGTAATGCGTTTAAGACCACATCATGACACAAAACAAATTAACGACATACACTTCATGACAAATGGGGAGTCATCTCAATTATCACCAGTAAAATATGGAGTGCCACAAGGATCTGTCCTAGGTCCTCTGCTATTTTCAATATACATGTTGCCCCTTGGTAATATTATTAAAAAATACGGGATTAGTTTGTGTTCCAGCGCAGCGACCGCTTCCATTTTAGGGTTTTTAGATTGTGGTCCCTGTGAGCCCCTTGCCTGGACTGTGCTGTCTCCCCTTCGGAGTTTTAAATAGATGGCCCACTTCCATGGCCTGGGCAATCTTCAGCCTTATCTTGATCTTGGACTATGATGCTTGTGTTTGCTCTTTAGCGAATCATTTACTGATGGTATGGATCTCCTATGATGTTTGTGTTGGTCAATAGCACGGTGCTTTGCTAGCCTACTGTGGGACTGACACGGATTGGGGACCTCCTTAATATAGATTTCTGAGGGTGGTTATATTCCAGCCATTGTTTTTGGCAGGACGGGCTTATTTGAATACAGCTATCTGTGGCTAGCTGTGTTCTACTGCAATTGCGGTGAGCCGGTGAGAATAAAAATGCCTTTATAAAGGTTAAAATGCACCTGGGAATCAATTTAAGCCCGCAGACATCAATCCCATAATCAAAAACTCAATTTCTGCCATTGCTGTGAACTGATCACTGCACCAGAATGAAGGTTATCAAAAGCTTTGGAAGACTGCTGTCCATGACAGGCCTAAAACAGCCATTGTATACACAAAAACACTTAGCAAAATATTGTCTAATTATCATCATCTAAAAAAATCACAGAAAATTTTGAGAAATAATGTTTTGGTCATTATCGTACACCAAATGTTATTCATGCTATTATCAGAAATAATACTAAGATTAAAAATCTCCGAAGTCCTTTTTTTTTTTTTTGTGAAAATAGCAAAGATATTTTTACCTGTTTTATTGTTTTTATTAAGCAGCCAAACTCTCCTCAACGCAGTTCACTGTTTAAAGTATCCTACATGTGCCATCAATGGTCCAGGATGAGTTATGGATCAAAGGGTGTTACACTTCCCTAACTTAAAATAATAATAATGCATAACTAATGCACTATAATTCGTAAAGAAAAAACACAGCCAGACACAAACTAGTGTACATAGACATACATAAACCCATACAATCACGCACACTAACCTGAGTGGTTGGGAATGGGCTCAGTAGTGACAGGTGGGAGTGGCGCTCTGCCTTTTAGCTTGTAGGGGGCGCTATCATGCTGACTCGGCACTGACAACTCAGAGCAATGACCCTTCAGACCAAGATCAGAAGATGTCCTGAAAAACAATTTCATACATGCTTTGACATTGTTTCACCACCAGGTGACAGTATTGATTTACTAGTAAAGTCAATATGCTGTCTTTATATAAAAATAATTAACATGACTTGGCAGACTTCACCACAATTACTCAAAATTAAAAATTTAATTTCTGAATTTAGTACTGAAATAAACCTCAATATGACACATTTTGCATTTGTCAGGAATATTTCTCCCAAAATAATTCATTATTTACCCTCATGTTGTTCCAAACCCATTTGAATTCCTGTAGAAATGCTGAGCATAATGTCCTGTCTGTTATTTTCCTTACAATGGAACTGAATGGCTACTGATGCTTTCAAGCTCCAAAAAGGAAAATAATTAACCCTATAAATTCTAAAGCATTATATTTGATATACAGATTTCTAAAGGCTCTACATTTTTTAAATGTTCAAAACTGTTGTGCACAATCCTCGTGTCATCTGATTGATAGTTTATAGTGGAATTAAAGTAAAAATTAAATATACGTAAAAAGTAAATGTAAGAGTAATTCAGTATTATATATATTTATCCATACATGTTTACATTGTTTTTTTCTAAAAACAATAATGTATCAAATATGAATAAAACCTACAGAGCTTTGGTCATAAACTAAGCATTTAAGTGTCATCTTACTTTACTAAGACATATTATTTGGAGATATAGTGACGGATGACATTTTTGTGCATTTTATGTAAGTAGTGTACAATACTGTTATAAAGATCTCATTGTGTTACATTACAAGCTATCAGAATTTAATTTTACTTTTTGGCAATATAAATATTAGCAACTGCACTTTTTCTAGTTATTTCATACATCAGACTTTAAAGTGTTGCGTGTGTTATTAGCTTTATATTCGAAATCTTCTGACACCATACAATATTTTTCCATGAGGGAAAGACCAAAATTTAGTTAACTTGGAACAGTGAGATCAGTTACAACAACAAATGACACCATGGTTGACATGAATACAGAACTTGAATATTAAGCAGACATGTTTTTTTTTTTTATGAAATAATGACTTAATGATGACACGCTATCAGAAGACTGTAGAATATAGAACACAGGTCATATGTACTACTTTAATTGTACTTTGTCTGTCTTTTTTATTTTGACAGCTTTATCCACATTTATTTGTCTTGTTTGGATTGTGAACATCCTCGTGTGTGCCACGGAAGGGTTTGAAACGATAGTAAATTATGGGAAAATATTCCTTTAATAAGTGCTGAATAAACTCATGCATTGGTCACTGCCAGAACAAAAAGGCAAAGAACGTGGATATGTTCTGACCGTTGCAGTGATGACTCAGGAGGAGGGCCTGTTCTTGGTGGGACAGGGGGTGGAGGTGACCCAAGAGCCATTTCAGGGAGCTGAGTGAACCTGAATGCCTTTTTGATAAATTTGCATATGAGCATATAGAAGCTTTTAGCAAGAAAGATAATTTCTGACATATCAATACATACATATATATAGAGCAGATCTATAACTGTACCTGTTTGGCCAGGCTGCACTGGTAAGGGTCTGGTCTACAGGCTGGCACCCACTGTAGGCCTCCCTGCCCTTGACTTGTGGTGCACGGTGCACTTGTCACCACCTCTGAGTATGGGATGACTGGACCCAAGCCATAGGGACCCAGTGATGGATGCTGATGGTGGGAGTGATGGTGTCTGCTGGAAGTGGAGTGACCAGCTGAAGCTAGACTAAAGGCTTCTTCTAGCAGCAGATGCATCTGCTGACGAACCTCATCTATGGAAGGCTGGGAACTCAGCGTTGATGTCTCAGATTGACCTTTGATTTGTCGACCACAGCCAAAATAATGGCGGCCCGCCAGGTCAAATTTTAGACATGCAAAAGCATGTCTAAAATTTGAGACCTGATGGAAAAAGAAAACTATGGCTTCAGAACACTTTAACTATAGCATATGAATCATATGAACTACTTTTATAATGGTTTATGCTGTTTTGGTACTTTGGCAGCCCCAAGATCAGCATGGACATTTGCACTGATAAAAAAAAAGATGGCATAAAGGTTTATAGCATATAAAGGGAATTAAATGATGACAATTTTAACAGTTTTAATTATTCCTTTTGGCATATCAAAATATATAATCAACTGAAACAAGATGAAACTAACACAATTTCAGCTCTAAAGGAAAAAACTAACAAACAAGTATACAGGAAATTTCAGTGCCAATTTGAGCTGTTCTGTGATACTACCACAATCCTGCCAAGATCCTGAAATGATTCGTCAAGTCTGGCAGGCCAGAAGTATCACAATACACAGCAAAGACAAGTCAATAAAATAATAAAAATGTTTACAATCACCCCAACCTGTTTTTTTTTTACAGCAATGTAGAAAGATACAAGATGACAAATAAATATATTGATAACAAAAACAAGAAAGAAAGAAAGAAAGAAAGAAAGGAAAAAAGAGAAAATTTCTGTAAGCTAAATGATAACATCTTAAACACATATTATGCATAGAGTTTTGTACACAGAACTCAATAAGTACTGGTTCCCTTTC